CCCCCCCCCCCCCGGGTTTGAAATTCCCTACTATATCATTTCTATGACGACTTACCAATTCCACTCTTCAGTCAAGTTTAGGAAAAAAAAGGGTTTATTTCAGTTTACTTAGTTGTGGTTTCACATATTTGCCCTAGTTTGCTTTTGTTCCCTCTTTCTCCCACCATATATAGGGAATGTTGGAGGACGGTAACATTTTATTCATTGATTTTACACTTTTACTTCAGAGTAAATCTAGTCAAAATATGAAAATTCTGTTCAGAAAGGAAACCACCAATTGAGGCCTCCACATGCCAGAAATTTCATGTATGCAGGGTAAAAAAAGATTTAACTTCTAAACATTTTGTGAATTTATTTTATAAAGCTGTATCAATAACCATAATGTTAATATTTGCAACTCAACATGTCAATATTGAAGTTCCTTTCTTTAAGACTGAAGACAATTTGCTAAAATGTTACCCATGTGCATCACCACCTCCTCTACACCATTCTAGTATAAAATTATATAGGTGAGGCTTGGGGCATGCCCCATTTTTTTTTTAATGGGGACAGGTGTCTGCCCTCATTAAGAAGACAATCTTTAAATGGCAAATATGTATAAAATTAAAGCACTGCCACTCTGAATAGTCCTATAACCTCAAGGTTAATATTTAGCTTTTCCCAAAGCATGAAGGCCACTGCCCTGAACTACAGTTGCCTGGTGATCATTCCAGCATGGTGCATGCTTATTCCCTTTCAGAGAGTCCAGGGGCCCTTTGCATTCAAGAGAGGGTGCGAGTGAAATGCCAATCTAAAAAGGGAACGTAAAAAACGGAGTTGGGTGGAATCCAATATCTGTCAGAGACCAGATGCCAATGAAATAAACGGCACTGCTAAAATAATAACTCTACTAATAACGACAGTGATAATAGCTCGCCAATCAATTACAACTCTGGAGGAAAGCCGGGCATTTGGAAAAAAGAGAATTCACAAACGAAAACCCTGAGAAAAATCTATATCTGGATAGCTACTGAGCACAATATTTTCTTTTTTAAACTGGGGTGTGCAGAATTCACTTCTTCCCCAAGCGGCGTCGAGTGCTTTCGCTCCTGCAATACTAAATCGAGAACAGTGCCCTGGCAGAATAAGGTTTTAGAAAGCGCCATTATAAAGGGAGAGAAATGAGCCTCCAAAGCTTTAATTTTCTAGCCCCCTGTCACCTAGAAGTAAAGGTCATTCCTCGAGTGGGCATCTGCTTTGGCAAAAGAAGCAAACGACAGAGCGACGGGGTGACAGGGAAGAGTGCTCTCAGGAAGCCAAGCATCGTCTTGCTTTTTGGCCTCTCCTCGAGTTCTGGAAGTACAGGTACCCGAGCACCACTAGACAAAACGGGCCACATTTAGAAAATGTCCCGTATTTCAGCGCCCGCACCACCCCACTGCCACCTCTTCTCTCTTCCCCACCCCCGTCGCTTTGCCTTTTCGTGAATTTGGCGCGGCCGGGAGTCTGGCGGGGGAGCGCCTTTTCCACAAGCCAACTCCGGGGTCTCTTTCCGCACCCGTGGTCCCGTCGAACTTCTGTCCTAGCCCGACTTGCCCAAGTCCGTCTCCTACCCCAGTGCTCAGAGCCCGAAGAAGAGAGCACTTCGTAGGCGATGGGCGTCCTCTACTCACCGGCAAGTGGCCCAGATCCGTGACTTCCTTGTCCCTCCAACCCCCAGGTCCCGCCATGGCTTCGAGCCGAAGGAAAGCGGGCGACTGAGTTAGGAACGCTTGGAGCCTGAGGTGGAATCGGACAAGAAGTTGAAAAGGGAGAGAAGAAGGGAGAGTGCGTTGGGGGGGGGGGGAGAGAAGGGACGGGGCTCAGGCTTGGGAGACAGAGGAGGGGAAACTGGAGGGAAAAGAGTTTGGAGTGCAAAGAAGTCGAATTTGAGAGGCGGGAAAGCAAGTTTGGCCAAGGCGAGGGAAGCGCCTGAGCGTCCGTCCTGGAGACCAAGAAGTTTAGAGGGGTGCTCTGCGGGCGAGAGCTCAGTGTCTGCCCCGGCAGGGTGCGCCTCTTTCAGGGTGGGGAGGGGGGCGGTACAAGGAGGGCCCCCCCACCCCCGGGAGCAGCTCGAAGAGGATTGGTGCAGCGTCACGTCGCCAGGTGGGCAGCCGCGCGGCGGGGAGGCGGGCTAGGGGGGCCACTGGCCAAGGGAGGTGCTGAAGGACTATAACGGTTTGCTAGTCGCCCCTGGCGGCCTCCCCCGCCTGCACGCCCCCTCCCTCATACACCGCTGCGCCTGCCGCCCCCGCCCCCGCCCCCGCTGGCGACTGTTCCAGAGGAAACTTTTTCGAGGCAGCTGCCAGCCCCGGAAAACCGGTCCCGCTCCGCGCCGCTCCCAGTCTGGGCCTCACAATTCTGCCACAGTCCAAACAGCCCGCGCCCTCCTCTCCATTAAACACTTGTGACTTTTCTAGTTGTCTATTTTCTCTTTATGCTCCTCTGATTTTATTGCTTCATTTACTCAAAGACCCATCAAGTTAGATAAGGGAATGACTGGGCACTGGGTTAGGGATCAGACCTAGGCGAGCCCCTGTAAGGGCGGGGAAAAAGCACCAAGTGCATAGCAGGGCTACCACAGCTCGGCCTTCGAAGCCACTAGATGAGGGCAGTGCGGCGTGGACAGGCTGCGAAGTCCCCTTCAGGAGGGCCGCATCTTTTCTGCCCCAGAGCAGCCCGGGCTGCTCAGTCGGAACCGCACCTGTTCACAGATGCTGGGAGTTGAGTGACACTGAGTCTCTGAAGCCCCAGCTCTCCCAGTTCCTAAGTTTGCAGTTTGCTGCGTTCCAAGAGCACAGAGAAAGTTCCTGCTAATTCCCCAGTCTCCAGCTCTCTGGGGCCAGGTTTCATTCATTCGCTCATTCGTTGCAAAATGTTTCAGGGCGCCCAAGCTCTTCGCCTCCGTTTCCCCCACAAAGCTCCTGGTATCTGACACACGTTTTAAAAGAATCTGACAAATGGGATTTAGTCTAAAGAAGTAAGGCGCCTCTTGAAGAGTTTATTGGAAAGAGATTCCGTGCCTAAAACTAACCGCATTCTAAGCTCTTGCACTGCAAAGAGCACTTTAGAAAATATCCTGAAGCTGCTTGCTTACTTACTGGAGCTTACTTACAGACTGCTTCCGCGCGCACAGGCACTCTGGAGTTGGAGCGCAATGTGTGGGTGTGTGTGGGGAGGGGTTCCTGTTTCTTTTTTAATTAAGAAATTTCTACCATTTGTAGGAAGATTTACACGAATAATTCTTCCTACCTACCTGAAGTTCACCATTTCTGACACACGCTTCTAACTTTTGTAATTATTCTCTATATATTGGTGGATTTTGTTTCTTTCATGTCTGTTTCAAGTTCTCAGTTTGGCCTTTTTGCATTCCTTAACCTCCGAGCCTCAGTGAGCTCTGTAATGGCCACAGCCGGTCTGAGTAACCGGGTCTCCCTAAATAAATTCTCCGTTAACGGATGCGGAGAAAACTAACAACCACCCCCACCAAAAAGAAGCTCGGGTGTTCTGGATCGAATTTTCATGTTAATTCAAATATGATGTAAACCATACAGAAATTTCATTTTCCAAAAATCCAAACCTTGACAACTCCACCGCACAAAATCTTCCCTTTTAAAACACAGTTTAAGAATTCCTGGGTGATTAGGAAAACTCTTCTGGATGTTACTAAATATGTGCCTGAAAACAGCAATTCATAACTAGAGATGGGCAGGTGAACTAGTTAATAGAAAGCTACACTTTTGTATACATATCTAGTTTTCAGAAATCAAAACACGGAGTCAAGAAATACAATATTTAAAGGAATTCTGAAAAGAGTTGTTGCTAAAGGGAAGAAGTGTTCATAAGTTAAGGCTTTTTTTTTTTTTTTTTTTTTTTTTTTTTTTTTTTTTTTTTTTTTTTTTTTTTTTTTTTTTTTTTTTTTTTTTTTTTTGGCAGTGCGGTTTGCTGCAGGTAATGTGTGGGGAAATGCCCCATGGCCCCCAATGGCAGACTGTTTTAACCTGTCTAAGGAGACAAGTCCAAACCAGGCGAAAGAATCCAGGCTAGATCTTTGGGCTCTCTAGCTGCAAGGCTCTGTGGGAGGCTAGCGGCTTCTTGACTCCACAGGGATTAGCCACTTAGCAGGGTGGGACCCCCCTGGGGGGTGGGTGTGGGTGGGAATCTAGGTGTTTGACCAGAACATGGTAGAGAACCTACACATTTTTAAGTTATTATTATTTTCAAGGAAAAATGAGGCATGGAAGAGCATGGAAACTTTGCCTTGTAAACTGGCATTATGGGAATTTCTGTGGCAGGTTTAGGGAAGGTCAGCCTAGCTAACAGACCAGAAGGCAAATAGGTGGCCCCCAAGCATGAGGCTTAACCCTGAGAGAAACCTTGAAATAGGGAACTTGTTTTCTGACTTCAGGACTTCTATTCTCCTCATCCCCAAACCATCACTTCCCCTTCCCTTTTAAAATGTTATTTTTTCTCTCTTTCTTTCCTGACCTGAAAACGCATAAAAACAACCCTAGTCCATTCAGAATCTAGGAACTTGTCAGATTGTGTTTTACCTGGAAATAATTTATCTGTCAGCACTATATGTCCCATATTCATTACATCTCTTTCTCTTCCAATCCATTCTGTTATCTTAAGGTCCTGAGAGCTTTCTAACTTTTGGTTGTTGGTATTTTTTTTTATAGCGAAATGTATTGAGTGCTTGATATATCTTCTGGTCTAAGTGTTTCGTATATACTATCTCATTTAATTTTGTCAAAAATTCATCCAGATTTTTAATTATCTCCATTTCATTGGCAAGGGAATTGAGGCACAGAGAGATAAAGTAACTTTCCTAAAGCCTCACAGCTAGAAATTGGAGGAGCCTGGCTTCCAACTCAGGCAGTCTGGCTCCAGAGACCACTTGTCAATGACTGAAGGGCCTGTGCATATTTTGAGACTGTGTGAAGAGGAGCCAAATTCAAAAAAGCCTCAGGGTAAGTCAGATCAGATGACATTAGCTAGGCCCATGAGCTATCCAGTTCCCCTTTCCCCCTTGCAGCCTTCAAGCCCTCCTAACAGAAATAACAAGGGCTTTATAAAAATAAATGGAACCCAGTTATAGCCCAAGAGTAGCTAGCGACCTGCCTAAGCAGAGATTACCAAATGGATCATCTCACAGGGAAAAATCATGGATTTCAAGCTTAAGAAAATTCCAGAGGAAAATAATCCCAGTAATTTCAATGCTTGGAAAATATTAAAATCCATACCTATTCCTTCCAGAGAGGTTTTTTTTTTTTTGGCTGAGAACAAACCCTATTCTGTGAAGTCTTGAAGGAGGCTGTGTTTGTGAGCAATCGTGCTTAGCAGAACTGAGGTGCTAAATGGCAAGGTTATAGCCAGTTAGTTCAGTTGGTAGGAATACTATGACATGGTGCCAAGGGTATGGACTTTATCCTCCAGAGGGTCAGTGTGCATCTCTCCATTCTTTAGTCCTTTAGCCCTTGATAATACTTCCTCTCTGGCCAGTGATGTCTTTTGAGAAAAAACAACTCCAAAACCAACACTTCATCTTTGTATATAAATAACTGCATATTCTTTTTTTCATGTACATCGCTGGTCACCATGATCTGGAGAAAGTATATTGCAAGAGCATGTGTGTGTAATAAAATACATAGATTCAAAAGGTTCTAGGCTGCTTTTTCTCCTTTTTTATTCACTCATTTATGATTGGCAATATATATGTAAATAAACACTTTAAAAATGAACCTCATAATATGCTTTATTAGCCATTTATTAAATATTTAAGCACACAAAAGTTCTGTCATTTATTGTTTTTCCTTTACTCTGACACCTCATGTATGAAAATGAGTATCTTGCCAACTTCTGTTAGGACAAATTTGCTGTCTACAATTACTGCTCCTGGGTGGGACTAGTGAAATAAGGTTATATAGCAATCTTCTTGAAAAAATACTTTCTAACTCTTGTGATGGCAAACACTAAAGATCTAATACCTCCCAATATATTTGTAAGAGGCTGGGGCAGCATATCTGAAAGAGTGTCAGGAACTGCTTGTTGAGGGACGAAACTTCTTTGGGAACCACTGCTTTAATGGACCTTCTTAAAGTTTTCTTTTTTCTTTATGGAGACACATTTGCAACTGTAGGATTTCTGCCACAATCCCCAACACTCTTGCAACCATTCCTTTTGATATTTCTTATGTGCCACTCCTCTGGGGACAAAGCAACAAGCCACCTGATGTTTCTCAGGCTAAAGGTCATAAATGTGCCTTCTGACCATAGTTTGCAAAGCTTCTGTCACTTGTTATGGAATGCTCTTAAGCTCGGCATGATTTGAGCTATGCTTGTTTCTAAAATGAGGCCCTGGAAATCTGATCCTAACTGAACACGGGTCTCATTGCTATTGAAAACTGGAATGCAATGCTAAAAAAAGACAATTGTTTTATAAAGAGAACTAAAACAAGGAAATTAAACCCAAAACTCAGATAAATTTCTGAAGTTGGTCATGGGGCTTCCTTTTATTCTTATCTTTTCCATCTTGGAGGCCATATCATTCTCGTTCTGGAATTCCCCACCCAGAAACTTCAGGCTTGCCATTCTTCCTCACTCAGAACTCACCAGAAGCACATTAATTGATGCTAATGAAACTTATGCTTCAAGAAACCTCATTTGCATTTCCAAGGGCCGGGGAGTGG